TATGTGCCTCTCGTTCTCGCCGACCGCTCGTTTTTCGCCAACGGGTCGATCGACTACCCGAACGTGGGGATCGTGCCGAAGGTGCATCCGAACTGGGTTCCCGAGTACTTTGGTAACCACATTCTCGTGAACGGCGTCGTGTGGCCGTACCTCAAGGTCCGGCGCGCGCTGTACCGCTTCCGCGTGCTGGGCGGGTCGAACGCGCGCTTTTACAACCTCAGGTTCACGTGCGCGGGACGCGGAGACTACCCCAACTTCACGCCCCCGCTGAAGGGCCCCAGCCTCGAGATTATCCAGGTAAACCGCTGCTCGTATGGAGCACTGTCCACTAATGCAGCGATTTCCTCTGCTAGTAGTGTGATTTTGCCAGTACATAACCAACTTCCCATGTGGTTTTTGTTTTCCCGCCTCATCCATTTTATATTTCTTCTGTTGCCGCGGTTCAGATCGGTTCGGATGGCGGGTACCTGGCGGCGCCGGTGCGCATGTCGTCGCTGCTGGTGATGCCGGGCGAGCGGATGGACATTCTGGTGGACTTCAACGGCGCGCCCGGGCACTGCAAGGACGTCATTCTCACCAACGACGCGCGCGCCCCCTACCCCGCCGGCGAGCCCGCCGATGCCAACACGGGCGTCATCATGCGCTTCGTGCTGAAGAAGACCAAGATCCCCACCCCGCCCATCCCCAGCTCCCTCGTCGTACGTCTCTAATCCCCTCCCGCCCATCCCCAGCTCCCTCGTCATACGTCTCTAATCCCCTCCCCTCTCATCCCCAGCTCCCTCGTCGTACGTCTCTAGTCACCTCCCAACCCATCCCTACCATCTGCTTTTGCAAGCTTCAAGTTGTTCGTTGTACGTTTGTCATTTGCCTTCGGTGAATACGGTGGACGCACTGCTGATTTGGGTTCCTCCCGGATCCACCCTTCGCCGAAGCAGAGCATTCCTCGGGTGGATGTTGCTAGCGCTGTGCGGTCGCGGTTCAACACGCTGGTGGAGATCATGGACCCCGCGACGCAGCTGTCCATCCGCGTGACCATCGACGGCAAGATGCACCACGACCCCGCCACCGAGATCGCCAAGGAGGGCACGGCGGAGCTGTGGAACATCATCAACCTCAGCGCGGACGCGCACGCCATGCACCTGCACCTCATCCAGCACCGCCCCATCTCGCGCCGCCCCTTCGACATCGCCAAGTACACGGCGGGCAAGTGCTCGTTCAAGGACAAGACCAAGCCCAGCTGCTACATCGGCCCTGCTGTTGAGGTGAACGCGAATGAGCGCGGGTGGAAGGACACAACCCTGTCGCAGCCTGGCCAGGTGCTCACGATTTACACTCCGTTCTACCAGCAGTCGGGGGTAAAGTCCTTTGAGTTTGACGCGAGCCGGGGTCCGGGCTATGTGTGGCATTGCCACTTGCTGGAGCACGAGGAGAATGACATGATGCGGCCGCTCCTCATCACCAAGTGAGGGCAAAGGGGTTAAAGCGGCAGTATACATTTGACAGCGGGGTTCAGGGTTTTACAGTGTGCCCCACAATTTCGCCCCCACCATGTACCATTTATAAACTTTTGGCACTCTCCCTGCCAAATGTAGACTGCTGCTTTAATGTATGCTTTCATTATGTTAGATTGTTAGGATAGGATGATAGGTGTAAGTTTTCAGCGTTCTTAGTAGATTGCTCAGCCTAGAAAGAGCTAGGTGTTGCATCTCTTGTGGATTCAGTTTCTTGGGCTTAGGGTATCCTCCTGTATATTGCATGTAGGAAATAATTTTAGCGAGGGATCTCAGCTCTCCCCAGCGAGGGATCTCAGTGGCGTCAGGGAACTGGTGACGCCAAGCGTCCGTCAGGCGGCCGAAGCAGCGCTGGGTGGAGTGCGAGCCCCCGCACTGCTCACCAGCGCGGTCGCCAGTACGGAGGACGTAGGTACAGGGACCAGTACCCCCACCTCGCTGACGCCCAGCGTACCACTCACGAAGCTGCTGGGGGGACGGGGTCTCACGAGTGCGCTGCTGCTGCTGGCGCTGACCACCACCGGAGCCACTCCTCTGTGCAGAGCCGCGACCAGCTCCACCGCCACCGCCGCCGCCGCCGCCTCCGCCGCCTCCGCTCCCACCGCCACCGCCGCCGCCTCCTCCGCCTCCACTGCTCCCACCGACACCTCCACCCCCGCCACCACTCCCACCACCACCCCCACCCCCTCCACTGCCTCCACCGCCACCTCCACCGCCCCCGCCAGCCCCTCCAGCGCCCTTGCCCCCCTTGCCCTTGCCTGTGCGGCGTCTCCCGCTAGGGGCAGACGCAGCGCCGACCGACTCGAAACCAACGAGGTCGGCCGCAGCAGCAGAAGCAACAGAGGGCAAGAGGGGGGAGGGGGAACACCCCTCAAAGACGGGGGTACGAGGGTCACCACGAGAGGCTCCTACAGCGACTATGCTCTTCTCTGCTGCCAGGAGGCGCTCCTCGAGGAGGTCAACGGTGAGTGTGGTGGGGCAAACTGAGAGGAAGTGGTCCCTGACTAAGCGAAGGGAGTCAGGGAGCCGGGTGACTATGTAGTAGAGGGTGATGTACATGGGGGGGGGGTTCTTGGCGCAGAACTCAGCAGGAAGCGCAGCGCGGTAGCGGGTGTCACTCGTGCGAAGGTGCGTAATGAGGTCAGCGACTGTGGGAAAGGCGGCTAGGTCAGGGAACAGGTACGGCAGCATGAGGCGGCTAAGGGCAGCAGTGGCAGGGGAAGAGTAGCGTGCAATGACAGCGTCGTACAAGGTCTTAGCACTCTTGTACTGACTAAAGTGCGCGCGCTCAGTGGACGGCAAGTGACTACGCACAGCAAGACGGGCAGCAGCATCGCGTGTGGCCCACTGTGAGCGAACAGTGCTGTCAGCAGCAGCAGCAGGGGCAGGAGAGGCGCCAGAGGTGAGATCGAACAGTGAGAGACCGTCTTTCCTATCGCACTGTATGAAAAGCTGCAGATCATCGACCCAGACCTCAAAGTCAACAGCCCTACCCTCAGCATCAAAGACGAGGACGCTAGGGGTAGCCATGACAGCAGTAGTAGCAGTAGCAGCAGTAGCAGCAGTAGCAGCAGTAGTAGCAGGAGCAGCAGTGCGGCGACGCTCTTACCAGGGCAGAGGGCCGCAAGTGGTGGGGCAGGGCCGAGGCGCACCGGCAGGGACGGGCCGAGGTGCGCAGGCAGAGCCGAGGCGCGTCGGCAGGGACGAGCCGAGGCGCGCCGGCAGGGACGGGCCGAGGCGCGCCGCCAGGGACGGGCCGAGGCGCGCCGGCAGGTACGGGCCGAGGCGCGCCGGCAGGGTCGGGCCGAGGCGCGCCGGTGGCTGCTGCTAGTGACGGCTGCGGCTGCTGCTGGTGACGGCTGCGGCTGCTGCAGTAGGGGCGGCGACGGTGGGCCGCGAAGGGGCCGAGAAGGGCGGCGCGAGGGGCCGTAAGGGGCCGACGAGGGCGGCGCGAGGGGCCGTAAGGGGCCGACGAGGGCGGCGCGAGGGGCCGTAAGGGGCCTACGAGGGCGGCGCGAGGGGCCGACGGGCAGCGCGAGGGGCCGTAAGGGGCCGTAAGGGCGGCGTGAGGGGCCGTAAGGGGCCGCTAAGGGCGGCGCGAGGGGCCGATGGGTGGCGCGAGAGGCCGTAAGGGGCCGTAAGGGGCCGCACGAGGGGCCGTAGGGGCGGCGCGAGGGGCCGTAAGGGCGGCGCGAGGGGCCGTAAGGGGCCGCGAAGGGCCGTGAGAGGGGCCGCTAAGGGCGACACGAAGGGGCCGTGAGGGGCCGTGAGAGGGCGCGACGGTAGGGAAGGCACACGGGGCGCGACTCGGGCAGGAGCGAAGCGCGCTCCGGGCAGGAAAAAAAAATATCGTGGTGGGCCCTGAGAAGTGTTCCCACTAGGGAACCTGCTCTATACCATGTGAAGAAATGAGGAAGGAATGAATGAACTAGCAAGCAGGTGGGTACAAGTAGCCGGGTCGAATGATATTGGTTCCTAGCAGGTGGAACAGTCGACACAGGTGGAGAATGGATCGTTCAATAAGCAGGGAAAAGGGAATGAGAACTGCGGAGAAGAAATGACTTGACATGTGCGAAGTCTGGCTTCGCATTGCGAATGTGATTATAATATGCAGCAGAGTTGACAAAACTACATAACTACAGACACTTTCGGTTACCGACTCGCGAAGTACCTGAACAATGTCAATGATCCGGGAGCAGGAACGCGTTTATTGTCGGAACCCCGCGATTGGCGGGACAAAGGGAGCTGAGCACCTAGCAGATCAGAGCCCAGACCAGCTACGCTGGGAATCCCGCAAAGAGCGGCGGGAGCAACGCTAAGTAAGAGCTTGGATGAGCCTGACAGCGTAGCGAGCGAGGAGGAACAGGCAGCAGAGGTGGCTTTCGCGGAGATGGGGCTCCACGCAGCCATTCAACGGTGCTGGGAAGCAGATATTCCCTAAGAGACAGCTGCCTGTGCTCTGCTGCTGTTAGTGAATTCTAGGGAGGGCAAACGCCACTTGTGGGATGGGATTGGATTCTTTGCCCTTGGGGGTTGAACCGTACGGCGAATAGATGCACAGACTGACAAATGGAGAAGATGGATTCGATGGTTCTGGCATTCCCAAGGGAGCGTCAGCAACCGCAGCGGAACGGAAATAACAGCAGTGGGGGAGCGGAAACACTTCTGCGCAGGAGCACGCGCTGGGGGAGACAAGACACACTTTCCGACAGGCACACTTTTGGCAGGTTGAGTTGGAATCTGGGGGAATGGCGCTTCAGCAAAGTTGCGCGGCTCGTTGGGGGAATCTGCGATGTGGTTGTTCTTGGGCGGTGAGCAGCAGAATGCGGGCAGAGGGGGAAAACCCGAAGAAAATGTAGGGCGGAGACGGTTCGAGTTTGTTTTTGGGTCTGGCCAATCTCGGTCTGATTCGTTACAAAACGTCAAAACTGATCATCTGCACCAGTGAATCAACCAAGAAAAATGATATATCCATTTACACGTACAAGTTCACAAACTAGGAGCAGTGGTTAACTCATCCAGAGCAAGAACAGCAACACCGGATTTCCAAGGCTGGAATGGCAGAGCCTCTACTTGGTGGAGAGCAGTCGCCCGCAAGTCAAAGTGCAGAGCGAGTGCAACTAGAACGGATCTCAAGAATTCATCCTTCGTTGAGTAATATTGACAAAGTTTGGTGATAAACTGATCATGGGAGCGCCCCTGCAAAAGAGATGTTGAATGAGACCAGAGGAAGTGATTGTAGACGAGAATATACTGCTCTTGAAAAGCCCAAACGCCATGATAAGCGGATAATTGCTAGATGGATTGAGCACATCCTTCACCATACAGTCACACGACATACCACACTCACATGCCTCAATTCACCAAACCCTCTCGGTCCAGGCACTGTTGGTTGCACAGAAAAGCAGTCAAACCGAGATTTCATTCATACCCCATATTAAAACGATATGCCACAGACTCACCTGTCTGTACTCCGGAGCACGCGAGGGCTGCTGCAGCAGCGCCATGCGGTGCGAGCAGAAGTCCCAGAGGAACGACGTGTGGTGCAGAAAGCTGCTGCCCGTGATGCTCTGCGCGTTGCCGCCCACCTTGAGATCTCCCACCACGTAGTCTAATCGCGTGGCACAGTGATGATGCAGGGAGGTTGGGATTGGGGTATATTGAGGTTGGCCCACGGGGCAGGGCACATAGTCTGATGATGTGGCAAAGCGTTATTGCAGGGGGGTCAGGGTTGGGGCACGGGGCATGGCGGTGGTTTTTCTTTTTGTCCCTATGTCGCTGTGCTTGATTCACATACCAATGTTCTTCAAAGCAAGGGCCGCATGGAAACGCCTCAAAATGTTGTCACCATTATCCCTCTCACCCTCCTTCTCACCATAATCCCTCAGGGCGAATCCCGGAACATTTGTCATGGCCGGTCCCAGCAGTCCCTCCGTCCATTCCATTATGACTTTGAGCCTGACTAAAAAGTCATCTCGCAACACACACCATCGTCCCTCTCACCATTATCTCTAAGTGCGAATCCCGGAACATTTGTCATGGCCGGCCCCAGCAGCCCCTCCGTCCATTCCATTATGGGCCGAGGGTACAACGGCAGGTTCGGCACCGCCGCGCGCCGGCAGATCAGGCTCGTCAGCACCGAGCCTGAGTCCAGCACCACCGTACCTCCGCCGCTGAACCGGCGGACCACCGGCACCCGAGCCTCAAGGACAGCCTCGGTGTGAAGCAGTTCGTGCGGCTTGCTGGTGTGGGGAGGAGCGTGAGGGTGGAAGGGGAGGAGGGGGAAGGAGGGGGGAGGAACAATCAAGGAATCCTTCCAGGTAAGGGGGGGTGGGCGAGGATTGAGAGGGGTGAGGGGAAGGGGAAAAGTAAAAGATTATTCATGACGCTTGCTTGGTGAAAACAGATTAGGACACAACAGGAGAGAGAACCGGAGAGGACAAGAGGTAGCGTTAGGAAAGGAAAGAGGCGAGGAGGAAAGACGTAGGACAAGGGAGTGCAAGAGGGGACAAGGGGCAGAGATGTACAGCAGAAAACGAGGAAATGACTTACCAGGAGACGATGTGACAGCTGGAGGCGATGTGATAGCTGGAGACAAGAGAATTGCTCACCCTGAAATCCCCATCACGATGGTCGGCGCTGCCACGTCAGCATTGAAGACGAACCAGTTGCTGTTTGTCGGGTCGCTTCTGAGAAGCTTCTCCTCCAGCCGCAGCTGCGCCTCCACGTCCATCCCGTCCGCGCGCACCACGCGCACCACCGCGCGTGCGCCGCCTCCCCCCGCCGCGCGCGCGGTGATTCCTCCTATGGTTCGTGTGCCGCTTCCCCCTACCGCCGGCGCATTTCCCCCCCCTGATCGCGCACTGCTTCCCGCTGCCCCTAGGCCGCTTCTCCCTACCGCTTGCGCACCGCTTTCCCCACCTTGCGCCGCGCTTCCCCCTACTGGCGCTGCCATCACGGGGGACGCAGGCGAAGCTAACGATGCTGGCGACATTGGCGATGTTGGCGACGACACTAACGTGCGACGCCATGCGAAGGCTTCAGCAACGAGTGCAGAGACGACAGGCGTGCGATCGACGGTGGAGATCTTCCCCACCCGCCGTGCTATGCGGGCAGCCATTCCGAAACGATCAATACGAGTGGTATCCTCAAAGTGTTTATGAAGTGTCGCAAGACTTCGCAGGACTTCGTTACACCTCGGAATGTCGTTCAGCGAGCATGGATCGTGGCGGCTAGAAAGAAAGAAGGGGCTTTGAGATGGAAAGGCCGTTGAAGGAAACACCCGTCAGCGCACCGCATCACTCGCCAACGCGAGAGATATCTGAGCCCGTGAAATGAAGGATGGGATAAAGAGGTAGCATAAGGAACAGTGACAGTGCCAGAGAGCAAAAGAATCCCGCCAACCGGATTCGAACCAGTGACCTAAGGATTGCTGGTGTCCCCTTGCTGCTGGTACTGTCACCTCCCGTGTTCCACTTGCTCGCCCTGCCATGTATGCATCAGACTGCGCCCTTCGGTCGCTGTTGTGTCGTCTCCCGTCAGCGGCAGTCAACAGCAGTCAACGACCATCGCATCCGTTGACTCCTCGTTCTCGTGAATCCAAGTCCAGAGACTCTCCTCCCCTTCTCGCGTTGACCAGCCGTCAAACAAGGTCAACGGCAGTCAACAGCGGTCAAGGATCCGTGCATCCGCGCTCTTGGACTCCCCTCTCGCACAGGTTAGCTGAGTTCAACACTGGTCAACGCGAGCACCCAGGCTCCTTGACTAGTAATTCTCACAGATCCGCACCGATCTCTGTCACAGTTGGTCTCACAAGCTGGCCATCCCATGCTGCTAGTGTCGCAGATGTTCGCACGAGCAGACGATCGCGTGCAATCCGTGCCGCTGATTTCCGCCCAAGGAGCCATGTTCGCGCGGATGGTACTAGGGGGAGAAACGTGCGCACGGAGGCAGGGGGGGAAAGTCTGGAGGGCAGCACTCGCGGAAGCGCTCGCGGAGGGGTACGGATTGAGGAGACGGCGGAAGGATCGGGGGAGATGAGCCTGCGGAAGATAGAGATCGCGCGGGCGGCTTTGGCGGTGGTTTTAGTGCAGGACGAAGGGTTTCGCGAAGACCATGCGAAGGCTGTGGCGAGAAACGTAACGGGTTTCGCGCAGTTTGTGTTAGAGCGTGATGCTGACGAACAGGGGGCGGCTGAGCTTGAGAGAAAGCTCATACGCTCAGGGCTTGAACCAAGAACACCTGAAGGATTGCATGAAATCACATCTGAAGTCACACCTGGGGTTAAGACTGAGGGCAGAGCAGACCATCCGTCAGTTGTGGACCTCCCTTCACTATTAGAACAGCCAGCTGGCAGCCCCAAACCCTCGAGCAGGGTTGAGGGTTTAGGCGGGAATAAAGGGGAGGCGCAGGGTGAGAGGGAGTGGCAGGGGGAGGAGGCGGGGGAAAAGGAGGGAGAGGGGGAGGGGGAGGAGGAGCTGTTCTTGCGGCTGGTGGATATGCTGAGGGGGAGTAGGCGGACGGAGGGGGGAGGGCAAGGCGACGAGGGCTATAACGCGCAGCGGCAGCAGCAGCAAGGGGGAAAAAGTGCGCAGTGGCAGGCGGGGGAAGGGGGAGGGCGCGGGGAAGCAGCAGAGCGGGCGGTGGGAGGGGAAGGGGGAGTGAGTGGGGAGGCAGCGGAATGGGTGGTGGCGGCAGTGGCGGAGAGTGTGGGGGTGGCGTGGGGGAGAGCGCGGCAGGTGGCGCGTGTGTGTGGGGGAGTGCGAGCGAGGAGAGTGTGGGAGAAGATTGCTCTTCTCAGGAGCCTTCTCAACGCTGCCCCTGTAAAGACCACCCAAGCCAGCAGTCTTAGCGAAAGTTTCCCTTCCGACACCCACAGCAGTCCCACCAATGGCAGTCTCACCAATGGCACTCCCACCAGTGGCACTCCCACCAGCAACACTCCTACCAGCAACAGCAACCCTGTAATTACCACCAGTAGCACCAACCCTGTAATTAGCACCAGCAGCACCACCCCTGCCACTGCCATGCCAGCCAGCAACGGCAGGAGTGGTAGGAGCGAGGGGCGAGGGGATTCCTTGTGGGAGGCTGCTGGTGCTGGTAGTGCTGCTGGGGGCGATGAAAGAAGGGAAGGGGAAGGAGGGGAGGAGAGGGGTGAGAGGGGAGGGAGAGAAGAGGAGGATAGAGGGCATGATAGTGGGGGAAAGGGGGAAGGGAGAGGGTTCGGAGTGGCTCCTGTTGGGCCGTTGATTCAGCGTGCGATCGGACGGCTGGCAGTGATCGCGAGGGATGATGATGTGCTGCTGCAGAAGTCTCTGGGCTTTTTCCAAAAGGTGCCTTATGGTTTGGAATGGCTCCTCTAGGATTTAGGGTTTGCACCATTTCGTAACAAGGTGACTTCCTCTGGTTTACGCGTGAAGGGTTTGGGTTGGGGTTTAACGTTTCAGGTTTCATTGAATCGTTTCGGCTGTCCCGTTTGGGTGTCATTCTCGTGTTTTGCGGAATGGTGGTTTCATTCGTCTCTTTCTGTCTCCTTCACTCCCCCCTCCCCTTTCTCCCCCTCCCTGCCCCCACCCTCCCTGCACTCTCAACCTCGCACTTTCTCCCTCTGCTCTCCTTTCACACCCCACTCTCACGTGCTTCACGTGTCTCCCCTTTACCTCTTCTCTCTCCCCCCCACCTCCCCCCCCCCTCCCCCTTCCCCAGCTGGCAGCGCAGCGACGTGGAGTCGCGCTATTGGACGACCCTTCCACTGCTCTGCCGGCGCTCGTTGCCGGTTTTCCGGAATTTCTGGCGTGGGAGGAGGAATCTGATGCGTCTGGCAATGTGGATGGGGAGGATGGTCTAGAGGCAGACGGAGAGAAGGTGGAGGAGGGAGAGGGGTTGCTGGTCATGGGAAGGCAGGAACAAGAGAAGGGAGCGCTAGCAAGAGAGGGTAGTGTGGGGAATGTTGTGAGAGAGGGTGTAGATGGGGGGAAGGGGGCTGATGAGGAGGAAGGAGAGGGCAGCAGCACCAGCACCAGAAGCACTAGCACCACAAGTGTCAGCAGCAGCAGCAGCAGCAGCAGCAGCACCGGCAGCGCCACCACCAGCAGCAAGCGAGGCGAGCAGCAGCAGCATCACCACGAGCAGCTACCGCCAGTGCTGCGTTTCCTCGCCCTGCACTGGGGCGTGAACCTCCCCACTCTGCGCCGCCTCCTCCTCTGCCACCCCGCCCTCGCCCTCCACGTGCCCCCCCGCTCCTCCTCCCCTCGCCCTTCCTCCTCCCAACGCCTCGCTTTGCCCCGTGCTGCTGCCAGTCGGACAGGAAACGGGAGGAAAAAGGAGAGGGAGGAGAGGAGCCGGGTGAGGGGGGAGAGGAACCGGGCAGCCGTTTTGGAACGAGAATCAGAGTCAGAAGCAGAATCGTTAGAAGCAGAGATCGAGTCAGTGTCGGGCGTGGATGTGACATCAAGGAGAGAGTGCGAGGCTGAGATTGAGGCACAGATGCTGGCATGCAAGCGCCAACTGAAGCAGGTGTGTTTGCCCATTCACGCCCTTACCTTCCCTGCTCGTAACTTGAATTTGGAAGAAAAGTTAGAGTGGATGTCAGGCGTAGAGTGGGCAGGAAGGAGAGAGTGGGAGGCTAAGATCAATGCACAGATGCTGGCATGCAAGCGCCAACTGAAGCAGGTGTGTGTTTGCCCCATTCACCCTCCAAGCTTCTCTACTCTTTGAGTTCTGCCTCTCGTCCTCAATTGATTCTTCTCCAGTGCCCTCTGTTTTGTCCCCTGTGCCGTTTCGGTAAAACCCCATCCGCCACCTCCCCATCTGCTGTCTGCTTTCAATCCCCCTCGCCGTCACAGCTGGGAGTGCGCGTGTGGGACCTGCCTCTAATAATCAACCGCTCCCCCCCAGTGCTCTCTGCCTAACCGCACTTTGTCTCTTCCCCCATACCCACCGTCTCTGCTCTGTGCTCCCTCCAATACAACACCCCTCGCCGTCACAGCTGGGAGTGCGCGTGCGGGACCTGCCTCTCATAATCAACCGCTTCCCCCCAGTGCTCTCCCCGTCGGTCTTCCTCAACGCACCAGTGGTCGCCGATGCCATCACCAACACTCTCAAGGTGCGCTGCGCTGTGCTCACCTGCATGTGCTGTGCTGCCCGGCCCGATGCTGCTGCGCGCCTGTGCCACTAGTGCAGTGAAGACCTGCCCACTTCTTCCCCGTCGGTCTTCCTCAACGCACCAGTGGTCGCCGATGCCGTCACCAACACTCTCAAGGTGCGCTGCGCTGTGCTGACCTGTGCTGGCCAGGCGCCTGTGCTGCTGCTGCTGGCCTGTGCTGCTGCTGCTGGCCTGTGCTGCTGCTGCTGGCCTGTGCTGCTGCTGCTGGCCTGTGCTGCTGCTGCTGGCCTGTGCTGCTGCTGCTGGCCTGTGCTGCTGCTGCTGGTCTGTGCTGCTGCTGCTGGCCTGTGCTGCTGCCGGCCTGTGCTGCTGCCAGCCAGCACTAGCCCAGGTAGCTCGGAGTGCTCCCTCACCCATATGACATGACTTTTGAGGCACCTCAAAAGTCTGCATCCGCCCTCACCATTCGAAATGCGAACATTAATTTGGGCAATTGAGCTTCTCAGACCCTCCCGCCCACCTCTCCCTTACCTCCGCAACCACCTTCTCTTCTCACCACCACCTCCCCACTCCCTTTCCCCTACTCCTCAATCCCATCCCTCCTCCCCTTCTCCCCCTTCCCCAGGTGCCAATCAGCAAGGTTGACCGATGCTCACACGCTGCCCCAAGCTGCTCTCGCGTCTTAGTGCTCGATACACCAAACATCCCAATCCACCCTACACCCCTCTCCCCTCCCCTTCCCCTCCTCTTCCCTCTTCCAGGTGCCAATCAGCAAGGTCGACCCGATGCTCACGCGCTGCCCCGAGCTGCTGTCTCTCACTCCGACCAACAGCATCGCGCCAGCTGGCGTGTTCCTACAGGCCGTGGGGCTGACGCGCGGGGAGATGGTGCGCGTGCTCTCTGCCAGCCCGTCGCTGCTGTGCCGGCCCAGGCACCAACTGGGGGAGGTGGGTCTGATAGAAGAGATGGGGGAGGTGGGTCTGTTCTGTTGAGATGAAGAGGAAACAGTGCTTAACCGAGAAAGGTTCACCACCACAGCAACCAACCTGTATTCCTCACGGATCAACTCATCTTTTCCCGCTCACTACCCCCTTCCCCCACCCCTCACACTCAGTCATTAGACTGGTTCAGCCAGTCACTAGACTGCTGCAGGGGCATCTCGCCATCCCTTTTCACGAGCTGCCGCACCTCATCTTCCGCTGCCCAGGCCTGCTGTGCCTCTCTCACCCTTCCTGCTGCAAGGCAAGGCAGTGTTCCTCACACACCAAGCACTTTCCCCCCACCCAACCCCATTTCTCCCCCCCCCCTTTTCAGTCACTGGATTGGCTACAAGAGAACCTCGCCATCCCGTCCCACGAGCTAGCCCACCTTGTGTTTCGCTGCCCCGGCCTGCTGTGCCTGTCGCCCGCGGTGCTGCACGGCAAGGCGGCGTTTCTCACGGGGGAGGTGGGCGTGACAGCAGCAGAGGAGGTGGCGCGCGTGGTGTGCCGCTTGCCTGAAGTGCTCACCATGAGCGTCAATTCTATGCGGAACAGGTGAGGAGTGTGCATTGCAGGGCGATGAGGTGACTTTTGAGTCGACTCAAAAGTCACCTCGAACAGGTGAGGAGTGTGCATTGCAGGGCGATGAGGTCAATTGAACCCGGATGGGGTGTATGGGAAGAGGACCAGGTACCTTCCTCTCCCTTCCTCCGTCTCTCCTTCTTACCTCCTCCCATCCTACCCCTTGAGTGTTGAGCCTTCTCACATATTGAGTCGACTAGAAAATACGCCTGCGCTGAGCCTTTTCACACACCTTTGGCCAGATTATCTTCCCTTCTTTCTCCTCTCCCACTCTTCTCTTTCCATCCACCACCCCTTCTCCATGTGTCAGGATCTCCTTCCTCTACTCCCGAGGCTTCTCCCGTGCTGACGTGGCAGCCATGGTGGTTCGGTACCCACCGCTCCTGGGCTACAGTGTTGCTGCGGTGCTTCGGCCGAAGCTGGACTTCTGGCTCGAGGAGGAGGAAAAGGGGGTGGAGAATAGCGATGAAGGCACCCGCACCAGCGTCACCAGCAGCACCGGCAGCACCGGCAGCACTGGCAGCACCGGCAGCAGCAGCACAAGCAGTACGAGCAGCACGAGCAGCAGCTACTACCCACGCTCGCGCTCCGACCTGGTGCTCTTCCCCAAGCTCTTCAGCTACTCCCTCGACTCCCGCATCCGCCGCCGCCTCCGTGTGCTGGCCAGTCGCGGCCCGCCACGTGGCAACAACACCAGCAGCAGCAGCAGCACCACCACCACTGCCAGGCAGAGAAGCAGGGAGCAGAATCTGAGGCAACGGGAGCTGGTGTATCTGCTGAGCTGTCCTGAAGAGAAGTTTGCCGCCCAGGTGCTCGGACTCAACTTCATGCTTGTGCCCCTGCGCGCGCCTCAGGCCTCTGCTGTTACTGCAGGTGCACCAGCAAGTGATGGTGGTGCTAGTGGTGGTGGCGGGGTTGGTGGTGTGAGCGGTGGTGCTGCTGCTGCTGCTGTGGGTGCAGCGTCAGGTACTGGCCTTGGTGGTGGTGATGGTGATGGTGGTGGTGGTGGCGATGGTGATGGTGGTGGTGGTGGCAGTGGTGGTCCTAGTGGTACTGCTGCTGCTGCCTTGCCGGCTCCAACTAGTGGTGATCAAGCTGCAAGGCGTGTTCAAGGAACCGGCGCCACCCGTCCAGATTCGCGTAAAAGGTTTCCTGCAGAAGCAGGTGTTTTGGAAAGAGAAGCCCCCTCTGGCGGAGCTTCCCTTGCCTCTGTGGCTGCCAGGTCAGCAGAACCCACTGCCAGGTCACCTGCCACTGGTGCCAGGTCAGCAGCCACCTGGGGATCAAGGAGAGATGCCATGGACCCACCAGTATCACCAGGAGAGGAGAAGATCTCTCAGGAAGGGCGAAACTTTTCGGCTAGAAGAGCTGATTATTCACCTGATGCCAGCCGTGGTTCACCGGAAGGTAAGGTGGTATCGTCTGTTCCTATGAGGAGAAAAATGCCTGAAGCAGCGTCTCGGAACATGGGACTGGATGGTAGTTCGGCAGGGATTTTGGATAGAAAGGGAAGGAGGGACGGAAGTGGGGGCAAGGGTGATACATTAGGGTCGAGAGGGGAAGATGAGTGGAAGAATCTTGAGGAGTTGTTTTTAACCGAGGAGGAAGAGGAGTTTGGGAGGATTAGGGGAGGCAGGAAAGGGAGGAAAGGGAAGAAAAGGCAGTAAAGATTATGTGTCATGATCGTTGATGTAGTATAAAAAGTCCATAACAAGCTTCATGCGGTGCATAAGAGTTGCTGCTCAGTGATTTGACGTTGTTCCTATGAACCAGTTGAGAGAATTTTGCAGCAACACATCAAGATGGTGTGGGAGGTGAGGGGAAGGGAGTTTTCCTCCCCAGAGGTTTGTAGATTGAATATAAGAAGTAATATCGACTTCAGAATACCGTACCTGTGAATCGACTGTAATGCGGACATGTTTCGCTGTGCAGAACTGCGTCGCAGCGTGCGACATGTGCTTTGCTTTTGGCTGTCGTGCACTGTGTCGTGAGGGTCGTCACTATCGTCAGCGCGTCGCACCTAGTAGTCAGCGGCGCGGAGGTTTCTAGGTTAGTAATTTTCGGTGACTGTAGCAGTCCTAGTCATATAAACCAATGGCAGTTATAAACTAGTCTTTAGGCAGGGCCTATAGGCACGGAGTGCCATGGATAATACTGGTAGGAACATGGATGGCCACGTGGCACTCGATCCCCATTCCCATTGGTCCCTAGACGAACTTAACCGCGAGCTTGACTCAATCCAACGGCGCACAGGCCCAGTCCCCGCCAAGATCCGCCCGCGAAATGCGGCGCAGTATGCGGCGAAGGCCTCGCGCCGTCTCCAAACAGGATCAACAAGCACCGCCGTCGCCGCACCCGCCGCCTTCGGAGACGGCGCTTTTGGCGCTGTACCCTGCTGGGCATCCGAACCCGGAGACTCCGCGCGATCTCCGGCGCGACCCCCGGCGTGGATGACGGCCGGTCGAGGATCCGCGAGCAGCAGCGGCAGCAGCGACGAGGAGAGGGAGGAGTCAGCTTACGGCGGAGGGTTGGGCGGAAACTTCTATCCGTCTCCTAACGCGCGCGCGGAAACGGGTAGCGCGGGGAAGGACAGGCGGAAGAGCGCGGGGAGCGGCGGAAAGAAGCCGCGGAAAGCGTCGTTCCACATCAGCCTTAGCAGCAGCGACTCTAGCGGCTCGGACGGGGAGGGGGAGGTTGGGAATGGGGAACGGGTCGGCGGAGATGGGGGAAAGCGGAGGGGAAGTTTAGGCGGGAGGGGGAGTGCGCTGGACGCGGAGAGGCCAGTGGCGCGGCCTGTGAGGCGGGCGGAGGCGGAACTGGGGGAGGTGGAGCGGAAAGTAGCTGCTGAGGTGGAGGTACGCGCTTGGATATTGAAATGGGGTCGTGTGGTGGTGGTTTAGGTGCGACGTGTGCTAAAGCTTCTGGAGGAGGCTGAACTGGGGGAGGCGGAACTGGGGGAGGCGGAACTGGGGGAGGCGGAACTGGGGGAGGCGGAACGGGGGGAGGTGGAACCGGGGGAGGTGGTACTGGGAGAGGTGGAACTGGGGGAGGTGGAACTGGGAGAGGTGGAACTGGGGGAGGTGGAACTGGGGGAGGTGGAACCGGGGGAGGTGGAACGGGGGGAGGTGGAAGGGAAGGTCGCTGCTGAGGTGGAGGTACGTGCCTGGATATTGAAATGGGGTCGTGCTCTGCTCTGCTTTCCACGAGCATTCTTCTTCCCTCCCCCCTCTCCCCCCCCACCACCCGCCTCTCCCTCACGTCGTGGCAGGAGGAGGTGAGGCAGCGGCGGGTGCGGCTGGAGGGGAGGCTGATGGAGGAGCGGGAGAAGGGGCGGGCAGCCGTAGCTGCGGTGGAGGCACAGCGAGAGGCGGTGCAGGCCACACTGGCTCGGCTAGATCGGGAGCACTGGCAGGCCGTGTAAGCTCAAGAAAGGGTGTGGGTGTGCGGTAGGTGTGTATATGTGACTAATGAGGGAGAGTGTTTAGGGATGTGTGCGGGAGGCACAGCGAGAGGTGGTGCAGGCCACACTGGGAAGGCTTGATAGATGGAGAGTACTGGCAGGCTGTGTGAGTGGGGGACGGTGCGACTGATATGTGAGGGTGATTAGGACTGGGTGGGTCTGATGCCAATGGGAGGTGACGCTGGCTCAGCTTGATAGAGAGCACTGGCAGGCTGTGTGAGTGGGGTGAATGATGGCAAAGTGATGACTTTTGAGTCGACTCAAAAGTCACCTTGTGAGTGGGGGTGAATGATGGCAAAGTGATTGGGCGTGTGACTGACGTGCGGCAAAGGGTGGTGGGTGGGTGGATTGACGAGGTTGGAAGATTATGCAGGTTGAAAAATAGTGTTTCATTATTTTATCTTGTTGTATCTATGTGTGTTTGTGTGCGTGGTTAAATGTATGCATATGTGCATGTGTGATCATGTTTGCAAGTGTGTACATGTGCATGTGTGTGTATGTGTGTGTGTGTGAGTGTGTGTGTGTGTGTGTGTATGTGTGTGTGTGTGTACACGTGTGTATGTGTGTATGTGTGCATTGGTGAATGGGTGTGTGCATGTAAACAGAGAAGAGATGAGGGATTCTCACATCCGTCGGCTGTCTCAGGAGCACGAGCAGAAATCGGAGGTCAGTAGTAACCAGATGTTACTGGTAACCACAATTTAGTGGCAACCAGGAAACAATGGTAACCAAAAGTTAGTGGTAACCGGACTTCAATCAGTGGCACCAGAGTTCGATGGTAACCAGGCAATACTAGAGGTTAGATTCTCCCTCTCATCTCATCTCCTTGCACCTTTTCACCGTTTCACTGGAATCTGGGGAGCCGCAGCTTCTGAGATGGCTGAAGAAGAGGTAAAATCCTTCTTTAAGACGACTCTAAAGTCGAGGTTATATAATAATTCTTCCTTCTCATCTCCTTGCACCTGTTCATTCGTTTCACTGCAGGCTGGGGAGTCGCAGCTTCGGAGAGAGGCGGCGGCGGCAGAGGCTCGGCGCCGAGCCGAGATCGAAGCTGAGCTTCGGGCAAAGCAGCAGAGGGAGATGGAGGAGGAGAGGAGGAGGAAGGAGGAGGAGAGAAGAAGGAAGGAGGAGGAGGAGAGGAGGAAGGAGGAGGAGCGGAAGAGGGAGGTGCAGAGGCAGCAGCAGGAGGTGGAGGCGAGCAGGAGAGCAGCCCAGGCAGCAAAAGCAGCTGCTGATGCAGCCGATGCAAGAGCAGCAGCAGAGGTGGGTTGGGTTGGGTTGGGTTGGGTTGAGGTGTGGAGCGCTGAGCCAAGGCAGCAGCAGGAGGTGGAGGCGAGCAGAAGGGCAGCCCAGGCGGCAAAAGCAGCTGCTGATGCAGCAGACGCGAGAGCAGCAGCAGAGGTGCGTAGGGCTGGGTGGGTTGGCCTTGGTTGAGTTGGGTTGTGCGGGGTTTGGCTGAGGTGCTAGACTAAAGAGCTGAGCCGAGGCAGCAGCAGCAGGAGGTGGAGTCGAGCAGAAGGGCAGCCCAGGCGGCAAAAGCAGCTGCTGATGCAGCAGACGCGAGAGCAGCAGCAGTGGTGGGAGATTTGAGGGAATCTGATGGCAGCAATGTTGCAACATTTTTGGGGGAAGGGTAGGGTGGGGTGGGTTGTGTGATCGTATGTGTGTGTGGTCTTGCTCTTTGCTCCTTGTTCCTTGTTCGTATTTATGTGTGCTTGCGCTCTTTTACTTGGTGTTACTTCGTTCACTTGGCTGGAAATTATACATCCACCCATCCCTCCTTCTGCTCCTCACTTTCCTTGTTCCAGGCGAAAGCAGCAGCAGTTGCAGAAGCAAAAAAGAGGCAAGGTGAGGGGGACGAAAAGGGGGGTGAGTGTGCAGTGGTGACATACGGTGATGAGGGGTGATGATGGGGCATGTCAGCGAAAAGCGATGATGGGAGGAGCAAGCCAGTGATACAAGTCCACAAGGGAATGCATTCCAATAGGAAATCGAGCATTCTATTGGAGAAGTCCAAAGACGAGTCGAGTCGAGTCGAGTCGAGTCGGGTCGGGTCGGGTCGGGTCGGATCGGGTCGGGTCGGGTCGTGTCGAGTCGAGTCGAGTCGGGTCGGGTCGGGTCGGGTCGAGTCGACAATTCTGGCGCCCTAATACAGCATTTGTGTTGCTTGCCTGTCCCTCATCACACCGTCCACACCATTCACTCCTCTCTGGTTCGTTTTGAAGAAAAAATAATGTAGTAATTATTATCACTAATAATTGTAATAATATTAATAATAATAGGAATATTAGTAAAATCGCTCACTCATTTCTCCTGCCCTCCCCTACATGCTTTCCCCTAGCAGCACAGAGGAGTTCCAAAGTGCAAGTGGCAGAAGGGGCAGCAAAGGAGGCGGAGGCCAGGCTGACACAGCTGAAGGCGATCTCCTTTCCCCATTCCCTCTATTTCCTCCCAACGCTCCAATCAAGCAGTGCAGAGAAGTTCCAAAGTGTGAGTGGCAAAAGGGGACAGCGAAGGTTTCTGATTCAACTGAAACAACACTCCCTTCCCACTCCCTCTTTCCTCCCTCCAATGCTCCCATGAAGCAGCGCAGAGGAGTTCCAAAGTGCGAGTGGCAGAAGGGGCGGCGAAGGAGGCGGAGGCCAGGCTGGCACGGCTGAAGGCGATGCGCGATGAGATCGCTCCCATCATGGCTGATAATGCACGGAAGAAGGTGAGAACAGGGCGAATGCATAGGCTCCTCTGTCCTTGCGTTGTTGCGCTGCAATGCAATGCACCAAGCTGCATCACATCGCATCAGACCACATGTCACCATGATTGATCTCGTCCCTCTGCATTGGATCCTCCTTGAGTCAAACTGCATCTCATTGCAGCGCACACATTGCATCGGACTACATGCAACTGCATCCCACTCCGTCCGACCGCATTGCACTGCAGGACCGCAAGACTGTGGAGCGGCGAATCATTCTGCTGGTTCAGCAGATTTCAGCCACGCACGACCAAATCGCGTAAGAAGTGATGTGGCTTCGCCCAACATGATGTGGAATGACGCAGCAAGATGCGGCATGAGGGACACACACATACATTTATTTCTGAGTCGACTCAAAAGAATGACGCAGCAAGATGCGGCATGAGGGACACACACATACATTTATTTCTTTGTGTGCGTGCGTGCGTGCGTGCAAGCGTGTGTTGTGTTATCCATATTTGAATGAAGCAGTAGGAGACTCGTCTCTAGGCTCCTTCTATTCGGTCCACTCTGGACCAAGAGTGGGTAGTCATGGCTGGCTGGCTGTCTGCCTTGCAAAGTGCACCGTTTCTCAATTATCGTAATCACGTTAATCAGGTGCTTCACAAATGAAAGAAACAGAATGTGTCCAGTCATCCGCCTCCCATTGTTCCTTCACTGCTCTGTGCTCTTAATGATGGATGCCTTGAATAAGTTATTTTCTCCCCTTGAAAGACTATTTGTTTTGAGACGTCTCAAAGCAGGTCTCCTTTCGTATGTGTCTAGCTAGTCTAGTCATCCGCCTCCCAATGTTCCTTCGCTGGTCTCTGCTCTTCATTTATGTGTGCCTTGGCTGGTTTTTCTTCTCCCCTTTTTCTGCAACCAATCACACAGCAAAAAGTCTGCCGATCTCACTGCTCTCTTGCGGGACCCATCCCTTCCCCAGACGTTCGTCGCAATTACCTTCGCCTCCAAGGTATGTTGCTCACTTCACTCTCTTTATACATGTGAAGTAAGATGTCTGCTGGTCTTACAGCTCTTCTGTGGGACCCATCCCTTCCCCAGACGTTCGTCGCAATTACCTTCCCCTCCAAGGTATGTTGCTCACTTCACTCTCTTTATACATGTGAAGTAAGATGTCTGCTGGTCTTACAGCTCTTCTGCGGGACCCATCCCTTCCCCAGACGTTCGTCGCAATCACCTTCGCCTCTAAGGTGCGTTGCTCACTTCACTCACTCTGAGAGCCACAACTTGTGTTGGCCCAGGCGCGTTGCTGAGATGATGCTTACTGAGTTGCCGTGCTGAACTGGCTTCTGCATGTGTTGGTGCACTGACGTTGATTTTGAAATTTCTCAAAATCACTCCCACCCTCCCCCCCCCGCCCCCCCCCCCCCCTCTTCCCTTTTTTTTTTTTTTTTTTTGGTGTGTTGACTTTGAGACACTACATGCAAAAGCTAACCATTCTTTCATGGTCTCATTAGACACTCCCTTCTTTCATGCCGTTTACCCCTCAAGCCAGATTCTATCGCAGTGCGAGTCCCAAGTTACCAAGTTACCGCCGTTCGCATTCGCTCTCGCGCAAGTCATAGTGAACGTGTCCTCTCAGGTATAAATCTATTTTCTTTTCTCTCTTCATAAAATGGCCTCTATTTTCAACTGCTTTTAGTTTCTCCAAAATGGCTGCCTCTTCTCTCCCCATCGCTTTTGCTCTCTCTTCCTGCTGCAGGCGCCCATAGCCATGGAGGCCTTGATGGCAAGCCTGAATGAGACCTGCATCTACACCGTTCCACAGCACTATGTCTTTTCCGAGGTATGCTCTTTGTATTCACTTGACTATGGCGCAATGTTCTTTTATTTCGTTGTTGCTACCCCTTTATGATAACCTTTCATTGTCATACCCTTTTTTATATCCCCTATTTGTTGCGGGACTGTTACCTATCGGATGATGCCTACTGCTGTGACCTTTGAGTTGGCTCGTTTAAAATCACGACGATGCCTATTACTGTGACTTGGGGTACAGGGAGGAAGAGGGGGAGGGCAGAAAGGTCTCAAACCCCCATCTATTATCCCCCAGTTATTGTCCCCCCTATTTTATGCCCTTTTAATGATTGTCATTGCTAGGCCTCTTACCCCTCTGACGACGCCTATTATCGCAATTTGGGGCACAGGGAGGAAGGGGGGCAGGGCAGGGTGGGAAGAAGCAGATTGCTCCACCACTACCCGCCTGTATTCTCTCCTCCTCCCCCCTCCATGTTACCCCCACTTGTGGTGCAGGCCTCCTACACTTGTGATGATGCCTATTATCATGATTTGGGGTACCGGGAGGAAGAGGGAGGAAGCGCACTGCTCCATCACTACCCGCTTGTATTCTTGCATCTCCCCCCAAATATTACCTCCAACTGTGGTGCAGGCCTTTTGAGGCGCCTCAAAAGTCTACCCGCTTGTATTCTTGCATCTCCCCCCAAATATTACCTCCAACTGTGGTGCAGGCCTTTTGAGGCACCTCAAAAGTCTACCCGCTTGTATTCTTGCATCTCCCCCCAAATATTACCTCCAACTGTGGTGCAGGCCTTTTGAGGCGCCTCAAAAGTCTACCCGCTTGTATTCTTGCATCTCCCCCCAAATATTACCTCCAACTGTGGTGCAGGCCTCCTACGCTTGTGATGATGCCTATTATCATGATTTGGGATACCGGGAGGAAGAGGGAGAGGGCGGAAAGAAGAAGATGGAGTCGACCGATGCGTTTATAGAGAGGATGACAGGATACATCACACTCATGGCTGCTATATGCCAGGTATGCTTATAGCGAGTATGGAGGGCGGAAAGAAGAAGATGGAGTCGACCGATGCGTTTATAGAGAGGATGACAGGATACATCACACTCATGGCTGCTATATGCCAGGTATGCTTATAGCGAGTATGGAGGGCGGAAAGAAGAAGATGGAGTCGACCGATGCGTTTATAGAGAGGATGACAGGATACATCACACTCATGGCTGCTATATGCCAGGTATGCTTATAGCGAGTATGGAGGGCGGAAAGAAGAAGATGGAGTCGACCGATGCGTTTATAGAGAGGATGACAGGATACATCACACTCATGGCTGCTATATGCCAGGTATGCTTATAGCGAGTATGGAGGGCGGAAAGAAGAAGATGGAGTCGACCGATGCGTTTATAGAGAGGATGACAGGATACATCACACTCATGGCTGCTATATGCCAGGTATGCTTATAGCGAGTATGGAGGGCGGAAAGAAGATGGAGTCGACCGATGCGTTTATAGAAAGGGATGACACGATACATCACACTCATGGCTGCTACATGCCAGGTATGCTTATAGCGAGTATGGAGGGCGGAAAGAAGAAGATGGAGTCGACTGATGCGTTTATGGAGAGTATAACAGGATACATCATTCTCATGGCTGCTATTTGCCAGGTATGACTCTAGCAGGAGTGATAGTCTACAATACACTCATGCTGTAAGCTCAACACACGTTTTTTTTTTACTCCCCTCTCTCCTCTGTGCCAGACCCTCCCACCACCTGGCACCGCAGTGCACCCCTTTGGCTTGTCCCATGCGTGGCAGTGGTGTGCTCGGCTGCTGAACCACCTTCCGGCCAATCGGGCGTCGGCCACCGCTCTGGAAGTGTTTCTCAAGGTACATGTACAAATGACGCTATAATAAACAAGCATCGGTTTTTCCTCTGGTAGCATAAAAGTACACTTGAGAGTGCATCTAATATTTCTGCGTGCATCTCTTCCCATTCCCACTAACCCTATCCTTCTCCACTACCCGGCAGATTGCTGGTTACCGCATGCACCTTACGTACCGCTCGCAGTTCCTGAAGCTGCTAGATGTGGTGGGAAACGAGTATAGGGGCAAGCTGCAGGCGCTGAACGATGCTGACGTGGCGCCGGTGGTTAACCGAATCGAGACATACATTGGTGTGCAGAGGTATCTGAGGCCGCCTGAGGGGCTGGAGATGCCGCTGCATGATAAGTCGTCGCAACTCAGAGCATAGAAAGAAAAGGTGCCTGCCTAGGTAAGGCAAAAGTCTCTGCTAGCAGCATCAATAAAATAGTTCTACTTTACAATCAGCATTGCAGTGCAATGGCCCATGTTATGGTTATTCCCAGGACCCCAAATGTTCACCCAGCCATGGCAGCAGTACTGCTGTATAAATACAAGGGATGCCATGCCATGCCATGCCATACCATGCCACGCCATGCAGACACATGGGATATGAGAACGTTTTCTTATATTGATTGATGAGCCCAGCTTCCCGAGACGCAGAAAGAGGTTCAATGGCATGTGTCTGGGGCAAATCTTGAATACCAGCTGCCCCAACTTCCAGCTTCACACAACCAGCAGATGACACACCGGTAAGTGACGCCTCCAGGGTCTCAGGATCACACCCTGAAGCTTTGCACCCTGAATCTCATACTTGGTACCTAATGGCTTCTTGTGGAAGACTCCTCATGTTTCTTCACGAACTGCGCCAGCGCATACTTGAGCGCGTCTACAGTCACACCGTCGTCTACAAGCACACTCGTTACACCCAGGGACCCGATCTCCCGCGTGTTCCTGGACTCGTCATCAAAGAACAGCATGTCTCGGTACGCGATCCCAGTTCGCCTCCGGATCGCCTCGAAATGCTCCGTTTTGTGGGTCGAACTGGGGTAGATCTCAGCCGCTCGTACCACACGCTTTAACTCGATCGCATTACCATCGACATTGCTGCTGCTGCTGCTACTGTTTCTGCTGATGCTCCTTCCGCTCCCGTGCCCTCTGGAACTGCCGTATCCGCTGCTGAAGCTGCCACCGTCCTCCATCTGAAACCCTAATTTGTCCAGAAATACCCGGGCTATGTCCGGAGTCGGCGTACGCGACGCGAAGGCGATGGGTATCCCCGCAGCCGCGAGAGCCGATAGAACCTGACCCACTTCTGGATACAAGCGCGGGCTGTCGCTCTTTCTCCTACATTCGCACCAAAAGGGCCATAGGGTGTAGTCTAGATCGAACACGACAAGTTTAGGGACCGGTTTGTCGGATTCTTGAAGCGTGTGGATGGCGGATAGGGCGGCGAGCTCGGCCGGGTCACGCAGTTCGCCTCCCTGAGGATCTTTCGCCCACACCATTGTTGCGATCGTCGATCGTGCGTTCGCAGAAAGGGTGTTCGCGAATCGTGCGTTGGCGAATTGCTTAATGGTGCTGGTCGTATGGACTCTGGATCTCTTGATCGACGAGCAGATAGTGGTAGGGTTATGTGGGCATGCTTGATAAGGGTCACTCGTGCAGACGATGCCGCCGATGTGCCGGCTGCCCTGCTCGAGAGAAGCGAGCAGGCTAGCACGCCTAGACAATGCCAGCGGGAAGCTAGTCGAGTTCCTAGGAACGGCTAGCATGGCATAGTTTGTGTCATGTGCGAACTCGAGAGAGCCAATACACCTCTAGTTACTTGTGAGGTCTGCTGGGATGGTTCTAGAGAGTGTTTGTGATTCCTTCTTTTGCCGTCAGTTATTTTTGTTGAAAAAATCGATAACAGACGATTTTCCACGAGTACGCTAATGGCGAGGATAGTGCATCACTTCGATCACGTGGAGTTGGGTCTCACGTTCTCTCGAGGTGTCTCCAACGCGAGTCAAAAGCAGCCACGAAAAGTACGGGCCGCACGGTACAAGAGTGTCCACGAAACTATTATGTGGAATACTTTCGAGGGTTTTCTGAGCGGTTTTATAACCACCGAAACCCCTACCAAGCGTCACTTCGTTGCTGGTCGGTGTGAAGTCCTGGAAGGAAACTTGCCCTGGTGTCACTTTGTGAATACCCTCGGTTATTGCTTTAGCTGGGAGCTTCGAATTACTTTCGCCTTGGCAGTTTATCCCACTTGGCTTCTCTGTCGTCTATTACCAGAAAATGGTTTCACTGTATCATTGCTTTGGCACTGCTTGCACCTCCAATTCCAAATCCGACGGACTACATTTGACGATCTGTCGCGTCTCGCCTTGTCAGCCCCACCTGAATGACCTGTTCTGGTTACGCGGAACCCCGGAGCCCAGATCCATCTCCCTCGCCTGCAATCCGCCGATTCCTCTTCCGCAGACACGATTTTTTCCACAGATCAGCTTGTTCCGCCGCCGACGTCCCGCGCACTGCGAGCGGGCGCTTCCATTTCCCCTCTGGTCGCTGGATGTTCACGCGCGAGGCGGGTGGAATCCCAAGGGCAAAGATTGTGGTTGTGTGGGTGCGGCTGTGCTGTGTGGCTCAAAACACGGAGGCCGCATCGCGGCAAGCTTTGGGATGGGACGCTCAGCATAGCATCTTATCGAGTTGCCTGTGGCTCGCTCACTACTCTCGAGGCAGAAACTTATGAAGCATTTTCGTAGTTTCCAGTCTTGAGTCCAGACTTTAGTTCCAAGTGTGAACTTGCGAGCCCGTAGCCCTCCATGATAAGGAAACGCGAGCAGCGCATTTGGTTTATTTCTTGCCGTAATCTCCCTAATAGAAGATCACGTTCCTCCGTGTAGCGGTCTAGTAACCTCGCGTTTTCTTCCAGCCGAACGCAGCATACCCGTTACTTCAACACTAACCAGTCAAGCATTCACCCATGAAGTGTTTCGGACTAGGCGGATCATTCAACGCGCGCGATGATGACGGGGCAGGCGGAACAGTCTCCGCACCCACGTCCGCCTGTAGCACTCCCTCGGGTCATCCGCCTATCCGAAGCCGTTTCTTCAACTACCTCGGCTCTCCAACGCACCACCCGCAGAGCCTCACCTCCTCGCCTCGCGCGCCAATCGCTCCTACACTAAGCGACGTTCTCGCAGATGCTAGTATCGAGGATGAAAACCTGACCTGCTCCCCCTCGTCCCAAGCTCCCCCAGCATCCGCCGCGTCGCGCTTTCTCCAGAGGCAAGCCTCCGAGCCGTATAACAACCAACCGCAGTGTGGCGATTCCCCTTCCCGAACCTCCAATTCTCCCCGCCAAAACGTGCCTCGGAGCCAGTCTGGGTCGGTGGCAGGGGTAACCACCCCGCCTTTGCCGCGAGTAGGTTCAGTTGGAGGCGGCTCGGTCGGAACAGCCGGGGAGGAGTCTGTAGAAGACGAGTTAGTTGTGGAAGGTAACGGTTCCGCGTTGGGGCGAAGGCAACGGAGAAGCTATGACGGCGGGTTAGGGTTAGGTAGCCCCGGCGGCGTGCGCGCGCCGTCGCCGCTCGGCGGGTCGCACGGAACGTCACCCGGCGACGGAGCAGGCTCTCCGTCGCCTGTTCGCCCCGCGTCTTCGCACGCACCCAGGCAGCAGTCGCAGCAGTCGCAGCAGCAGCAGCATCAGCAGCAGAGGCAGGTTCGACGAAGTCACAGCACGTCAGCCGTCGGGAGCGTTCATGCAAATGGCAGTGCTGGCGGCGGCAGTTCCGGCGGCAGCGGGGGCGGTAACAGCAGGTCCTTTAATTTCAATTTCACCAATAAAGGATCTGGCGGCGGAAGCGGCGGTGGCGCCGGAAGCGGCGGACATGGCGGTGGCGGCGGTAACGGCGGTAGCGGGAGAGGGTCCTCGGTGCAGATGTTTAGCGGGTCGAACGTTAACCCGTTCGCGCTTCGGATCACGCAGAAAATGAACTCGCCCTCGCCTCTCGTGAAGCCTGGAGGCGCGGCGAACGGAACTGCAACAGAGGCAACGGAGGTAGGGGAAGATTCGGCGGCAGATCCGCCGTCCGCGACACAAGACGCAGCAGTAGATGGCAATACCGGGGCCGATCAATCCGTCGTTTTAAGCACGCCGCGGCGGCCGCACGACCGTGCGATGCAGCGCGATATGTTGCTCATAGATGACGTTCTTAGGCGATCGGATCTTCGCGTGTTCTCCTATCCGGAGCTAAAATCTGCAACTAAGGGGTTCTCGAGCGATTTGCTTCTAGGAGCCGGCGGGTTCGGGAAGGTCTTTAAAGGGGTATTGAAGCCGGGAAGCTCGCAGGGTTCGGGAGCGGCAAACATGGCGGCAAGCGCGGCGGGCAACGCGCTGGAAAGCGCCGCAGCGGCGGTTTCGGGGGTATCTGGGGGATCACCGGGAGGCGGGGGCACTGCTGCGGGGGCGTTGAACGGCGGAGGGGTTGGGGAAGGGCGGAGGGCGCTGCAGCAAGAGGTGGCAATTAAGAAGCTGGACTCGAAGAGCCTTCAGGTGAGAGAAATGGTCATGTGAAGAGTCTTATGAATACAACAATGTATACATACACACATACACACATATCAGAGGAATTTTGAGGCTAATCAAAACAGAGCGCACTGCAGCAAGAGGCGGCGATCAAGAAGCTGGACTCAACGAGTCTCCAGGTGAGAAGAATGGTCAAATAAAGAGCCTTATGAATACAACAGTGTATGAAGAGCCTTATCGGAGGAGTCGTCAATTATAGAGCCTTCAGGTGAGACTGAGGAGAAAGTGAGATAATGGGCCGCCAGGTGACAGAGAAGAACAGTGTTGGAAAGCCGACAACAGGGGGAAAAAAGAAAAGAAAAGAAAAAAGACGAAGAAGAAGAAAAAAAACACGGAGGGCGGTGCAACAAGAGCTGGTGATTTGATTGATTATTTCAAGAGATTTTCAGTGAGTCTGGGATGGGACGTCACTTAAAAATATATGCACTTTGAAGGCTCGAGGAAAGGCATGGATTAGGGTTTTGCTGGAAACGAGGGAATAGCCACTGACTGATCAATGTTTTGTGTGATGTGAACGCACATGCTGTAAAGAGGTACGCTAAACACCTTGTAAAAGCGCAGGAGAACCCTCGCTTCTGTGCCGAGGGCCACCGCCGCCTGCTTTCCATTCAATCACTGCCTTCTCTCTTCCCTCTGCCTCCTCTGCCCCACCGTTGCAGGGCCACAAGGAGTGGATGGTTGAGGTGCGATTGCTAGGCCTGATCGACCATCCCAATCTCGTCAAGCTGCTTGGCTTCTGTGCCGAGGGCCACCGCCGCCTGCTCGTCTACGAATTCCTCCCCAACTCCTCCCTGGACCGGCACCTCTTT